TTATTTCCTCAGTCTCTGTTGGAAGAAAAGTACAGCAAAAATATAAAATCCATCGAGTTCTAAATGTAAAGAATGACTTTCTGTTTCAGAAAGTTTAGGAGATAGCTAGGGAGGTCATTTATTTTGGACACTGTTCTGGCTAAAAAGGAAGAATTGTTTGCAAACATGAAGATATTAGAAAATTTGGGAGAAAACAATAATGATCTAATAGAATTCATGATTCTAACAAAGAGGCATGACAACAGAAAAATAAAGAAGATTTCAACTTACTTAGAGAAACAGTCCCATAAAAGGCATCTTAAAGGGTGAGAAAAGGGTGAGAGGGGAGTCCAGGAAGGCTGACAAATGCAATCTGACACCAAGAAAAAAAGAGAAATATAAACAAAGAGGAGGAAATGATGCAGATTATAGGTTAAACACATATTGGAGAACTGATTTAAATCAACAGAATCTGACCAAATTCCCTGGGGGTGCTAAAAAAGTGGTTTAAGAAATCTCAGATTATCATCCACCTGGGAAGTTACCGGAATTAAATTATATAGCAATCAATTCATAAATATCTGGAGGATGAAGGGGTGATCAATAGCAGCTAGAATGGATTGGTTTAGAGCAAGTCGTGCCAAACTTGATTGCCTTCTCTAACAGGCTAACTAATTTGATAGATAAGGAGAATGCAGTAAACATACAATACCTAAACTAATACTTTTTAAACAGTCCCATATTCTACTCTCATATGTAAGCTAGAAAAATGTGGACTAGATAGAATTACCAGCAATAGGTTGATCCATGATTGGTTAAATGAATGCAAGAAGAGAAAAACTATAAATAGATTGATGTGAAACATGCAGAAAGTCTCAACCAGCATGCTGCAGGGATCTATTCTGGATCCAGTGCTGTTAGCATTATTATTAATTACTTGAATGCAAGGATAGAAAGTATATTAATCTATTCTGAAAACAACACAGAAGTGAAAGAGGTTGCAAACACTTTGGAGGATTGAATTACAACTCAAAAGGATATTAATAAATTGAAGAGCTGAGCTACAGACATCAAAGTGAAATTCAAGACAGACAAGTATAATGTGCTACGCATTGGGAACAAAAACTAAACTCATCATTACAGAATTGAGGATAAATGGCTTGACAGTAATGTAGCCAACTGAATATTACAAGTTCAATGTGATACTGTTGCAAAAAAAAGCAAATTAAATTTTGAATTGCTTTACCAAAGCATTGCATGAAAGACAGGAAATAAAAGTACCAATATGCTCAACACTGGTTAGATGCAAGCTGGAGCAACATGCCCATTTTAGGAACCATATTTTAAGGAGAATATAGGCAACTGGAATGTAGCTGGAATGAATGCTGTATGAGGAAAGGCTGAAGTAACTAGGTACAGAAGTGAAAGACGTTGCAAACACTTTGGAGGTTGCAAACACTTAGTCACCTTCTCTAGTTTGGAGAGAAGGTGACTAAGTAGGGATGTGATAAGTTTTCATCCTAAAAAAGAAGAAAAACTGTTCTCCCATGTCAAAGATAGGACAAAAACAATGGGTTTAAACTGCAGCAGGGCAGTTATAGACGAAATCTCTGAGAAACTTTCTAACCAAAAGAACAGTAAGATAATTCATTGAATAAGCTGCATACAGAAATTGCTAGATCTCCTTCACTGGACGTTTTCAAGAAAAAGCTGGATAGATAGGGATAGTTCAGAGACAGAAAACAATGTGATATATTCAGGACTCTGAGCTAAATGACTTTCTAGATACTAGGGGTATGCAAAGTGAGCTGTATACTGTTTGGATTCAGCATGATTTTGGGGACAGTGATTCGATTTGTTGATTCGGATTACTGTCCTGATTTGATTAGGCTGAAACCGAATCTCAAGATTCGATGCTGATTCGGAGAATCAGTGATTCAGCTATAGACAGAGCTTTAAATGTTTTTTCTACATACATCGAGGTACCAGGCGTGGCTCATGAATGATGAAATGGTGGGGCAGATGGAGTATCCCAGCCCCCCCCCCAACCCCCGACTGCTTGGCAGCAGACCCAGAAGTGGCCGGAAGTACTGGTCTATTGCCAGGTCTGCCACCAAGCACGCCAGGAACACCCCACCCCGTGCCTTCCTGGCTCAGTGATTGGCTGTGGGGGGACCCCCCAGACCCAGGAGGCACTAGTCGCCAAGCTGGGGGGTGGGGGAAGGGGAGGGCCCCCTATATGCTCCACAGTGGACCCAAAAGTGGGCAAGAATGCTTCTGATCCACTTCTGAGTCTGCTACTGAGCACACTGGGGACCCCCCAGCACTCCTGTGCGACGCTCCATCTGCCCCATCATCTCAGCGTTCATGAGCCCTCTGGTACCTTGAAGCATGTAGAAAAAACATATAAAGCTGTGTCTATGGCCAAATTGTCAAATCTCTCCAAATTGATTCAAAGGGTTCTGACTCGATTTGGAGATTTATTAAAGAGTCTCATGATTTGATTCAGATTTGGAGATTTGGCCACCAAATCAAGCTGAATAGAATCAGCAGCCAAAGCTTTGCACAGCCCTACTAGATATCTTCCAACCCTAAGATACTTTGATTTACCCCTGGGATCCATCTGGGAAGCAACAAGCAACAGCTAACCAGAATCTTTCATTAATGGGCTGTTATCTTTCATTAAAAAGAAAAAACTGAGCCAAAAGTATCCTTGATGGCTTTAGACAAATCTCCTGCCGAGCCTCAAAACTGGTTCAAAGGGTGGAAACTATAAGTATTTGATTAAAAAGGTATAATGATGGAGGGGGAGGGGGCTGTATTTAACATGACAAGTCAAAGGGAACTAGATTAAAGACCACCATATGAACACACAGAAGGAAGCCTGGCTTTCAACAGAATAAGAGTTTCTTCTTGTAACTTAAGTCCTTCCACATATTGCATCATTACTGGTCTGTGAGCATTTTCTTCTGCAGCTCCTACCATTGGGACTAGTTGTCCTGGTCTCTCTGCCTAGTCAATTCTTTGTCTATTTTTAAACCTAACCAAAAAGGTATTTTTTCTTCCAACCTTCAGACAGAAGGACCACAAAATAATCTTTAATGTTACTGAATTTGTAACATGCTTTACAGATATATGTATGAAAATTGGTAAAAAAACAAGACTGTCTTTTATATTGCTTTGTCATTAGTAATGAACTGAAACAGCTTTTTTAAGTCCAGATACTGTGGCATGCTGAGTATCCACAACCCCCTATGAACACAAAAGACTCAGAATTCTAACTAACAGCAACTTACAAGATGCAGACCCAAAAAACTGAACGGTTCCCAAAAGGCTAGACTGTCAGTAGTTCATCATTACTATGAAACTGTATACCTCTTTGCTACTCTTACACATGTATTTTGAAACACAGGGGTATAAGACCTTTCTAGTACCTGTTTATTTACAGCAGTGAAACAGCATTTCCTAAGATATGCTGTCCTGCTCCAAATCTCAGACTGTCTAACATACTTGAAGGGATCTCTGGAGGAGATAAAATAATAACAAATGTAATGTAATTAAGTCTTATTACTATAGGAATCAGTAGGGTTTCACAACTATGCCAATCCACTTATTAAAATGTTCTTCGAAGTGACAGAGAAGCACAGGATTGTAATCAAATTTCTCTAAACTTTAGAAAATCACAACAGAACACATTCTCATGAAGCTCAGTCTCCTACAAGGGACCTCACAGGTTTGTCCTCAGATCTTAGTGAGCTTTGTCCTTAAGCCTGATATACTAGTTGCATACAACTGTACCAGTTACACCGATACCCATCAAAAGTGACAATTAGTCTTAATTTTATTTTATAAATTTCTCCCCCAGTATTATCAAGGTTGCAAAGAGTGGGGGGGAGGGGCAATATGAATATTATAACACTGATTTTTATCATCTTACGGGTAACTGCTGTCATTCTAATGCCAATTTCACACCAGTACTGAACTCTTCATATAAATAAGCTTCAAGTCCATTAAGACTTATTTTATTATATATATGTTAAATCAGGACTAAGGAAGACTACCTATGCTATGAAACTGTTGTTTTTAAAGTATGCTTTTTGTCTCACGCCCAATCCAATCCCCATTTTGAAAATGGCAAAAGGCTTTCTCCCACTGACACCTGTGAAGCTCTCTCTAATCCAACAGTGACAGACAGACAAGGTACAATATTAGAACAAAGCAAGTATAAGGCTTTTCTAATGTGCTTATTCATCTCTTCAATCTTTTTAATATACAAAACGGATGAAGTCTTGACAATGGTGATATTATAAGAAGAAGATGCTATTCACAGTAAGGAAAACAAACTGTTCAGCAAAGCCTAGAGGCAGAGACAAGTAAAATTTGTGAAACAATGTTGCACACGCTTTGGTGCTTTGATTCTTTTCCATTGTGATCTTATGGTCTAATCTAGTTCTTCTGAAATAAATGACAGTCATTCTATGGGAATGGTTTTAAATGAGAATTTGGTTGGGTCCATGTAGAGTAAGAACAGACTGAGGAGTATACTATGCACTATATCTTACAGTTTTTTTAAAAGACTGCAGAGCATGTAATGCAAATCTTAAAAAAATTCTAAAATATCAAATTTTGTGTGAGAAAATATGTTCAAACGTACCAAAAATAATTACACATAGAAAATGTAACATGATGATAATGATGTTAAACTTTTTAAATATGGGTGTCAGAAAAGAAGCTGAATTTTTGGCATTTGTGTGAAAATATGTGGAAATCATCATCTATATGTAGATAAGTCACTGCTTCAGTCCCATTCAATATGGCTACGTACAGACAGTCAAAAAGTCAGAGGTTAACTCGAGTCAACCTTTACAGGTTAGTCTAAGCTGTGTAGACTGAACCAAGAAGCAAGTGATTAGTAATAGTAACCTGATCCATTAGTAATAACTGCTTTTCAGATTCAGGCTTCACCTCCACAAAGCTCACTGGAAAAAAGACTTGTTTAAGCAGTGATACAAAATACTCACCAGTTTGCCACCAGTGATCCAGGACTGGAACCTTGAAGACTTTTTTTGACCATTCTAAAGTCTCCACATCACAGTGCTCACCAGCTACAAATAATGCTCTCAACCTAAACAAAAGTAGAGGTGCATGTGTTAATTCATGACAAGGGAAAGACGAGCACCAATGGAACTATTTCTCTATAAACTTAAAAAACATGTGTTGCATGCTCAAGATGTTGAGGGTGAGAAGTTGTGTCTCCTGTAGTATCATCAGGAGATGATACTTCCGAAGTATCTTCAGAAGATATTGTCTCCCCTGAAGTATCATCTTACTGAATTGTGATTAAAGTCCCAGGGAGATTAATATATTGTACTATTTAAAATATTGCAGAAAAGAAGCCTCATTTTTGAAAATGTGAAAGTTTACATATACAAGAACCAGCACAATAGTATATCGAAGGAAATAATACTTTAATGTAAAAACTGTTACTTTTAAAATATGTACAGTACAAAAACTGGGAACATTATCAATAGACACAAAAAATAAGGGTAGAAAAAAAAAGGGCAGAAAAAGGTACCAGAGCTAATAATAAAAGAAAAACCATTACACAGAAATTAACCTATTTTATGGAGGCCTGTACCCTCTTTATAGTGTTCCATTATAAGATTGATTTTTAATAATTTTCTAACTTTAAGTCACCCTTCCCTGTGGCACTTGAAAACAGGATTTATAAACAACTACTGAAGCTAAATCCATTCCAACACAACAAGTATTTATGAATAATCTTTAAGCAGATCTAAGTTCTATATGTATGCAATAAAAATGCAATACTTTAAAAAATGTTAAATTTTGTAACATGAGTGTGCTACAAATCTGTCTAAGGCAACTTACCAATATCCATACAATAATATAACATATACAAAAGATAACATACAGTATTAGGTACCTGACTTGCAACCAGTATATGCCCATTGACCACTTAGTTTCTGTTATATGTGCTTGATACTACAGCATGTGTTTGATTCAGTTTTTGATGGTTCTTATGTAGCAAGATTCCACAGAAGTAGACACACCTTTTGACAGCAATGACAGATGCTATTTGTATTTTTTTAACTGATTAAATTAGACGGTGCTATATAACTGGGTATTAAACCGACAGAGTCTTTAACATCATCGTGCTTTACCATATGCTTTGTCACAATTTATCATCCCTCATTAGGCATTACAAATTCATCTCATTCCCCTTTCAGTATGGTAAGATCATGAAGACAAACTGAAAAGAAGGCTTTTTTTTTCTTTTAAGCACATATAGTTCAAAAAATTATTTAGGCTCCAAAATATAGAACCAAGTTAATTAGTGCAAACTATTTCTGAGTCTTTTAATGCTCAAAGAAGTAACTTCATTTATAAGCAGAGTCCCACTGACCTGTCATAAATTATGATAATTTCTAATTTCCTTGTGAATAATCATAGAAATGAAGGACTGGAAGGGACCTGTAAGATCATCAATTCCAGTCCCCTGCCATGGGCGGGAAGTTATTGGGCTCAAACGAGCTCAACAAGGTGCTTATCCGGCCTCATCTTTAACACGTCCAAGGATGGTGATTGCACCACCTCTGCTGGGAGTGTGTTCCAGATTCTGGTAACCCTTACAGAGAAAAAGTTTTTTCTTATGTCCAGCCTAAATTTTCCCTCTGTTAGCTTGTGCCCATTGGCCCTCATCCTCCCTCAAGGTGCCTTTCTGAAGAGTTGCTCCCCTAGATCTTGATGCTTACCTCTAACATACTTGTAGGCAGCTATCAAGTAACCTCAAAGTCTTCTCTTATTCAGACTGAACAGGCCCAGTTCCCAGAGTCTGTCCTCATAGGGCTTATTCTCCAGGCCCCTAATCACGTGGGTGGCCCTTCTTTGTACCCTCTCAAGCTTATCCACATCCTTCCTGAAGTGTGGTGCCCAGAACTGAACACAGTACTCCAGCTGCAACCTCACCAACACTGAACAGAGAGGGAGAAGCACCTCTCTGGATCTACTGGCAACACATCGACTGATGCACGCCAGGGTTCTACTTGCCCTGCTGGTGACCTCATCACACTGTTGCTGCTCATGTTCATCTTCTGGTTGATTGTGACCCCCAGGTCCCATTCAGGTGCTGTGCCAGCCAGTGGACCACTACCCATCATGTAGTTATGGTGAAGGTTCTTCCTACCCAGGTGAAGAACCCTACACTTCTCCCTGTTAAACCTCATCTAATTCCATTTGCCCATAAAACCAGTAAAAAACCATAACGTACAAACCTCTTTTCATTTGCATGCTTTTATACCCCATATCTCTCCATGGATACCAAGTACGTAGGAACAAAGGCCTAAGAGGTAGCTTGGCCCATCAAGTCCATTTTCCTGCATTTGAAGTCAACTATGTATCCAAAGAGTCCTAATAATTGTTTACTCTAATTCCTCATACACAACA